CCTTCTCTGAGGTGATCTAGAGCAGCTCTTGCAGGCAAAATGCGAGGGAACTGTCCAGCCCAGAACTTAAACATAGTTCACGCCGAGTGACCTGTGCATAAGCCACGGGGAGGACAGAAGCAGTGGGCTTCGGCAGAGTCCAGCATCATAGCAAGCTGCAGGCAGAGGAAGGCCAGACCCCGAGATGTCTACAGAATAATCTAGCAGAATTTCATTACTTCACACAGGAGGCAAGGGTGGACTGGGAGGAGACCCATTCAAGGACCTGAACCAGCACATGGCAAAACTTCCCTGTCTTCTAGTTCCCCGGGTAGCCTCACGATGTCTCCTGTGCACACCTCCTAGCCCACAGAGGGCTTAGGTGTGCTTAGCCCATGCTGGCCTTTAAAGGGTGATGACGGTGTAAATCCACAACTTCAGAGAGAAGCTGAGGTGCAATTGCTTCTGGGTGCCTCCCCTGTGTCGGCTCTTTATCTACTTTTCCATGTGCAATTTTCTAGTTTCCCCCAAAAATTACACAAACCAAATCCTCAACAGTTGGGTCCACCACTGGCAAAAGGGACATGTAACTTGGGAGGGGAAATCAGTGAAAGAGAACAACAGGAGAAGGGCCGGGAGGAGATCCAGGAACATCTGGGTAGGTTGAACTCACCCCCTTGGTGTTCACACTTACGGACAAGATGAAGCCAGGAGCTCCAAGCAGGAGATCTCAATGTCCCTTTCTTTGAGACGCAATCTCTGAAAGCCGGAAGAACGCAGGTGGAGAAAGCAAAGTTGGTGCAAAGAAGAGGTCCTCAGCCACTGCATCAGCCAGGGATTCTCCACCCGAGCTGGCTTTAGACACAAACAAGGCACATCCAGGATGGTCCTGTGGCTGTACGTTGGGCCCAGGCTATGGAGCTGCCAATCCTAGCAGAGGCTGGACCACACGAGCTGGCCAGGTTCCCCATTTGCCCAGTCACCACAGGGAAATTAACTCTGAAAAGTAATGCATCTTTGTGATCACATGGGGGCCTTGTGCCAGGCTCCTTCCACCTGCCAGTTCCGGTTCAGGAGTTTCACATTTTTTCTTTCTTCTTGTTTCAAAACAACATTCATTCCTTCTGTCCACCTGCACTGTCTCGTAGCCATCCTTTCTCCTTCCCCAAACCCCTCCTGGTCTGGGCTTTGCACCACTTCTTTGAGATCATCTTTTCAGTTTCGACATATACACGAGAGAACATGCAGCATTTTCTCCGTGTCTATCATCAACATAGTACACCTGTTTTGCAGAAGAATAACATGAGCTGGAAATAAAGGCTAGAAAAAGAATGGAAAGGTCCTGTGGCCTCACTCCTAAAGGAAGCTGCATCACAGCAGGCAAAATGTGGGCACTAGCTGGAGACCTAGAGACCATCCTGCTCCCTGCTAGTGACCTGGAAGGCCAGCAGAGGATAGCCCAAGGCCTTGGGCACCTGTACCTACCTGGGAAGCCTGGCTCCTGACTTCAAATCTGCCCGGCTCTGTTTGGGCCATTTGGGAGTGAAGCAGTGGGATGGAAAGTCTTTCTGTCTGTCCTTGCTCTCTGTAACTCTGCCTTCCAAATAAATCTCTCTTTCTAAAGAAAGCTATATAGGGCCGGGCACGGTAGCCTAGTGGCTAAAGTCCTCTCCTTGCATGCGCCAGGATCCCACATGGGGACCGGTTCATGTCCCGGCTGCTCCACTTCCCATCCAGCTCCCTGCTTGTGGCCTGGGAAAGCAGTTGAGGACCGCCCAAAGCCTTGGGACCCTGCACCCATGTGGGAGACCTGGAGGAAGCTCCTGACTCCTGACTTTGGATAGCCTCAGCTCTGGCCGTTGTGGCAGCTTGAAGAGTGAACCAGTGGATGGAAGATCCTTCTCTCTGTAAATCTAACTTTCCAAGAAAAATAAATAAATCTTTTTTTTTTTAAAGCTGTTTAGAGTAAGTTGATAGGTACACTTCCACACTAGCCTAAACACCATAGGTACTTGCTACAAGTAAAGCGTTTATAAACACGGACCTCTGATGATATTTTACATTCAATACACATTCTATAGTGGAAAAAGATCTATATATAGTGTGGGTTCATTCTCTTCGGCCAGCCATGCACATATTAAATTCTCCACCAAAAACCATTTTAAACGATGGTATCATATTTCATGGTTCTAGTAAAAATATTTACTATGACAAATAGAGAATAGACAATTCTAAGCGGCTGCCTATCAGGATTTTACCAAACCTGTAGTCCTATTGTTGAAAGCATTTATTCCATTTCTAATCGAAGGCACAGCCACAGCTGTCCAAAACATACAGCGCAAACGTCCCAGCCCAGCCCACGACCTAAAGCCGTGGAGCCGAGGCGCTCGGGCGTTGCTGGGCAAGCGGGCTGCGGTCGCCGCGGTCACCCGGGGCCGCCCACCGCCCGGGGAGGCCCCCCGCTTGCCGGCAAGTTTGCACGGCCGGGGCTGGGGTGCGCGGAGCCGGACCATGACGTGTGGTCAGCCAGGCCCCGGACCACGCTGCAGCCTCGGCGGGCGCGCGGCCGTCGGAGCCGGGAGTCGGCTCGGGGAGCCCGGGGTGTGCGGGTGCCTTCTCCCAGGCGGGGCGAGGCGGGGCGGGGTGGGGCCGCGGGCGGGCGCCGCGCCTGCCGTTCGCCTCTCGGGCTGCAGGTGGGGCTGTGCGGCCGCGCTGCCTCCAGGAAGCCTCACGGGCCTTCGTCGGCCGGGCCGCAGCGCCGGCTCCCAGGATGCAGTGTGGACCGGCCGGGCGCTGACGGCGGCGGCGCGTCTGCGGGCGGAGGAGCGGCGGCAGGCCGGCCACCGAGGAGCGCGGCGGGGGGAACGCAGGCAGGGCCCGGCCGGAGCCGCCTGCGGAGAAGATCGGGGTGGCCCGGGCCTGCGCGGCGGCGACTTCCTACGGGCCGGACCGGACAGCGCAGGGCCATGGCCGAGGCGGCCGCGGCTCCGGTAAGAGCGGGCACCGCGCGCACGGGCCTCGGGGCCCCAGGCGGCCCGGGCCGGGCACAGGGCGCCGCAGGCCCCGGGGAGGAGCTCCGGGGATCGAGGCGGGCCGCTGGGCCTGGGCGCTCGAGCGAGCGGGACGCGGGGTCCGCTGGGGCCTATGGCGCTCGCGATCGGGGGGCCCCCCCATTCCGGGCCGAGCCCGAGCACGGGAGGAACGGCCGTCCCCGCGTCGGAGGCCGCCTCACGCCCGAGTTCCCTCAGCCCTGCGGGGCCTCTTGCGCCCCGCCACAGCAGCTGCCCCTGCGTCTCGGCGCCCCTAACCCGCAAGCCCTTTCTCTGCCCAACGCTCGGCTCCAGCTTCCCTCCCCCAGCTCCCCCCAGCGGCCTGGTGGCACCTGGGAGGTGTCCGGCTTCAATTCCGCATACCCCAGCACCCCTGCGTGCTCAGGCTGTTGGGGTGGACGAGCAAGGCAGTCGCAGCCGTTGGGAGAGCCAGGCGCTGCACACAGCCCCGTGTTAGCCATTATGCAGCCTCCGGCGTAGGTACTCTTAACGTCTCTGTCATACAAAAGAAATACCGGAGGCCTGGAGAAGTTAACTTGCCCCGGGTGGCACGACTAGAAAGTGTGCGAAGACATAAAATGACTGTGTGGTGGAGGACACGAGGGGGTATGATGGGGGCAGCAGACAGGTACCTGGCAGTAATGGGGCAAAACAAGAAAGTAGCGCGCTGGCGGGGAGCTGGAAGCCCAGGAACTCCGGGGAAGGAGGGCTGGCCACACACCCCCTGCGCGCCCTTCCTGGCCTGCTACTCGGCCTCTGTGATTTGAGCTGGACTCGTTACACGGAAGGCTAGGGTTTCTGCAAGCTGAGCTGGGCGGGTGGAGCTTCGCCCGGAGGGAGGCGGGCTTGGCTAAAAGGCTCCGGAGAGACAGGAGATGGGACAGGGTAGAGTTCATTCGAGGAACAGAAGGGAGTCCCTGGACTTGGGAAGAGGCTGCAGAGAGAGAGAGAGAGGTAGAAGGGCTGGGCTGGGACATGTGAGTGGGGAGTCGAGGGGGAGAAGTGGCTGCCTCTCACCAGCAGCTCCTCTCCAGCGGGCAGCTGGGACAGCTCCTATAGCGCATCCCTTGCGGCGGCTGGTCAGCAGCTCCCACTGAGCAGGGCGCAAGCCTTAGGTAGGGCTTCGTGCACCGCACCGTGGTAGGCAAGTGTCCTGTTGTTCATGTGTCCTAGGCCAGTGCTCCCTTCCTGGGGTAGGAGTTTGTGAAGGTACCCTCCTCGTGCACTGCCAGGATTGTTAAGCGTGCACTTGGCAGGTCGGGGGTAGGATTTGGGAGATGAGGAGGTGGGTGATAAAGAGGGAGACTACCTCTGGGGTCGTGGAGATTTATCCCAAGGGAAGACCAGTGTCATGTGAGAGTGGACTCAGATGAGCCTGGAGTGTGCCATTCTGCCCTTAGGGCCAGGGCAGCTGCTCTGTGCCCATCAGTGTTTCCTCTGGGGACAGCTCTCTGCTGACCCCAAACCTCCCGACCCTTGAGACCCAGCTGGTGTCCTACCTTCCTTAGGGCCAGCATCCCTCTGTGAGCTGAATGGGTGCTGAAGGTCCCTCTCAGGCCCATGCAATCGTCTGGGCTGGCCCTGCCAGGGCAACCAAAGGCGGGACTTGAAGTTGAGTCAATCTCCAGCAGGCTGATTTGTAAATTGATCATGTTGTGTGGCCCACGGGTAATGTTGTAAATACCCAGGCGGCCATTGGTAGCAGAAGGGTTTTCCACACCTGCTCTGCAACCACAGAATCCTTCCTCTCCTTTGGGCTGCACTTCCTGTGGTGTCCACACACCCTGTAACTCACAGTGGCTTTCTCTAAATGAATGCATGCTGCGTCCTACTAGTCACTTCTTTATTTTGCAAGTAGTCACCAGCCTTCTGCTTAGGAGTGATTCTCCAGCACATGAAAGGGAACCGTTACAGCCAGAGGCCCCTCCCAGTCACTGCACGTGTGGAAAAAGGCCAATTCCAGGGCCTCCTGCCCTGTGGGTCCCACCTGTGGGTGTGTGTTGGGTAGCTGAGTTCCCCCACCCAGAGTGTCTTCCCTTTCACTGAAGCCACCAGATCATGAGCTCCAATCACGAGGAGGCCCAGGCCTTCTGGTGCCTAACTTGGATCCTAGCCTGTCTTGCCCACCAGGCCAGTACAGTTATAAAAGAGTGTGAGGCCGACATTTTTACCTTGGCAGGGGTGGGAATGGGTAACGTCAACATTGTGTGACAATCGTGTCACGTCACAAATCAAGACAGCCAGTTCTCAGCTCATGAGGCTTTTTGACTTGTCGGGAAGGGACACATTCCAGTGGCCCTGGGAGGAGGAACTGGTCATTGAATTTTTCTGCTTTTAAAAAACAAAGAAAGAAAGTGAGCAAGACTTTGGCAGCGTTTCCATGAAGGAATTGTTTGTCTTCGCTAGATCATCATTGGCTGACAGTTCCTGGGCGGTCACAATGCCAGCACAGGTAAATCTGCAGTTTGCCATTGCTCCAACAGGTGCCAGCAGTGCCAGATCACTGCACGTGTAACCGTGGTATACCAGGTGCTGACCGCATCCCCAACTCTGAGCTGTGAACACATGGGAGTGTGCAGCCTGTTAGCGTGAAGGGTAGTGAGTGCCAAGGTAGGGGGCATGCCATGTGCCACAGGGGCCTCAAGGAAAGACCCAGGCCACAGCTATGATATTGAGAGAAGGTGATTGCCAAGTTGAGATCTGAAATGCAGCCCAGGGTCTCCACGTGCCCAGCCCAGCTTCCTTGTGTCGAATGGGAATATAGACTCAAGGATCACAATGGATGGAATTCGTGGTGCCAGTCTCTGTCTCTCTTTCTGGAAGATTTCCCCGTGGACAATGGCAGCTACGATTCAGGCCATGGAGAGGAAGATTGAGTCGCAGGCAGCGCGGTTGCTTTCCCTAGAAGGTCGGACCGGCATGGCCGAGAAGAAGCTGGCCGACTGCGAGAAGACGGCCGTGGAGTTCGGCAACCAGCTGGAGGGCAAGTGGGCCGTGCTGGGCACGCTGCTGCAGGAGTACGGGCTGCTGCAGCGGCGCCTGGAGAACGTGGAGAACCTGCTGCGCAACAGGAACTTCTGGATCCTGCGGCTGCCCCCGGGCAGCAAGGGAGAAGTCCCCAAGGTAGCCCTTGAGTGTCCCTGGGGTGGGGGAGCCCGAGGAGCCGCGCCTGTAAGGGTGTGGGCGAGTGAGTGTTAACACTTGTGGTTCCAGGTGCCCGTGACCTTTGATGATGTGGCCGTGTATTTTTCTGAGCAGGAGTGGGGCAAGCTGGAAGACTGGCAGAAGGAGCTCTACAAGCATGTGATGAGGGGCAACTACGAGACGCTGGTCTCGCTGGGTAAGGCCTAACACTTCACTTCTCTACTTAGTGGGATTGGGCCAGTCCTCAGAGCTCTGTCTTCTACCTCAACAATATGTAGATCATTAGAAACTGACCTTGCAAGGAGTGTCTTTCCCCCGGCTACTACAGGTGAGCTCTGGGGCTGCATGCCCTGCTCCCTGCTGCCAACCTGCACAGGTAGGGCTCCTCCTGCAGCCAGGCCTTGTGGAGGCTTGGAATGGAGAGGTTCCTGCTGCTTCCAGAGGCAGCCTGTCGGTGACCCTACATTTGGGCGAGACTTGCTTTTTTAGCCTTTTCCCACAGAGACATGTGGCCTTTCCATAACACATCACGGGTCAGTGGAAGGTGGACAGACTGTGCTGCTCGTAATGGACTTTTGCTTCCTGGCCCGGAGCTCTGCTTTCCCAGGTGCTGCTCAAGACAGGCTTCCACTGTGCCTGCTCCTGGCCCGTACCTTCAGTGTGACCGGAGGCTGAAAGGGCGTGTTCAGTCGGCATGGGGGCAGGTAGAGGCCTGGTGGAATGTTCTGATTTGTACACATGTACTGCTGCTCCCTGTGGAGACCCCTGACCACTGGAACCAGATAGTTCTGGGTTAGGATGGGTACGCTGCCTACAGGAATTTTAGCAGCCCTGGCCTCTACCGCCAAGAGCCAGTAGTCCCCCTCCGTGGCCTCTGGTCCTGACGAGATCATATCTAGAATTTGCAGAATGTCACCCCAGGGAGCAAGATTTCCAAAAATCGAGAACTACTACTTTCCACTATCCCAGAAATTCAGCTTATAGACCAACCTTGGTTTTGCTGGCCGCCTGTCCCCAGCTCTGCCTGGCATGGGGCCAGAGCTAGCCCTCGTGTCTCTCCTCAGACTACGCCATCTCCAAGCCCGAGGTTCTCTCACAGATTGAGCAAGGGAAGGAGCCATGCACCTGGCGGCGCACTGGTCCCAAGATTCCAGATGTTCCCGTGGACCCAAGCCCAGGTGAGAGGGTGAGGGAAGGCCTGGGAGGCAGCAAGTGGTCCATCAGATGGAAGCAGAAAGCAGAGGGTCGGGCACAAATGTTTTTCTTCTCTCCACAAGAGGCTGGGGGAAACTCCAGATTGGCTTGTTTTCCATCTTGTCACCTCCTAGTTGAGTGATAAACCTGCAACCTGTTCAGCCCGCACTCCGGAGACTGGGGCTCTCTTTCGTAGAAACTGGTGGCATAGCTCGTCTCCTAGGAGAGACAGCCAGTGGCACAGGACCAGGGGAAAAGGACGAAGACACTGGTAGGGAAGGTATGTGGCAGGCAAAATTCAATTCATTCGTAAGATTACAAAAGTCAGCCTTGCCTCCACCCAGGAAGCAAATTTCATTTAAATCCATTAGCAGCTGCAGAAGCTCAGCCCGTTGCTTTGCTGTATGGTTCAGCATAACGAGATATTGATTTAAGGTGCCTCTGGATAGCGGCTGTCAGTGTGCCCGATTTTCAAAGGAGCCAGTCAGCGCCTTTGAAAGTTAAGGGTAAGAACATGGGGCACAAGTAGGGAGCGTCTTGCTGGGCTGCGGGGTGAGTGACATTCTGTCCCCTGACTGGGGAGACCCCATCTCTGCCAGCCTTGACCACCAGCTTCTTCCAGAAGCCTCCGCTGGAACTCCTTTCCATCTAATACCTGTGTCCTAGACATCTTCCTGTGCCATTAAATGTGTTCGTCTTTTAGCACACTTGACCAGTTTAGTTCAGCAAGTTCTAGCTGCCCAGGGGAGTGCTAAGAGTTAGGACAGACAGCTAATGAGAACATAGTGCCATCGGTATGACAAGGGGCATGTGAGCCCAAGGCTTCCATTGCTTAACCTGCACGAGAGGCCCAGTGGGCTGCTGCTGCTGCTGTACTGTGTTGGTAAGATTCAATGGGAAAGCATAGGAGCCCTGAAATAGAACTCTGGCCCTGAGCAGAACTCCCCGACCCCAGCATTCATTAACTCCACTATCCACTGGGCATCCAGCAACAGGCGTCCCATGCCTCACCTCCCACCCTCATGCCAAGCGGCCAGAGCCAGCTCAGTCATCACCCCTTAGTTGGTTCAGTCCTTCCCTTGTCAGAACTCTCTGCTTCTCTTCATGCCCAAGCACCGCAGTGCTCAGCAGACCCCCTCACCCAGTCCTGCACCTTCTGAGCCCAGGCCATCCCTAAGGCACATCTCCCTGTCTGCTTCTCTTCATCCCTTCCTGTGCAGCACAGTGCTCGGTAGGCTCCCTGGTCCTGTGTGCTTCCCCCAGGTCCTGCGCCTTCTGAGCCTGTGCTGTCCCCAAGACACATCTCCCTGGAGCTCCCTGACCACTTGCCATCCTTTTTCCCATTTCTGCAGAACCCAGGCTTTCTGGAGCAGGTGCCCCGCCCCTCATTGCTGCCTTTCTGCCAGCCGCCCTCCATCCTCTCTGGAAGCCTACCCCCTGGGCCTTGGGCACCCTTTTTCTGCCCTCATTCATAGTAATGGCAATGGCCACACAGCTGGTTCTAGGTCACTCTTCGCCACCCCCACGGTTGATGACTGTCTCTGCACCCATTTCTCCCCCTCTGCTCCCCACTTAGCTCTCTCCAGCCACCTCCTACTGTCCTTGCCGTTCTCCGGAGCACTCTCCTCCAGGACTGCACACGGTCCCTCTAGGCCTCCAGCCTCACCCCCAGCCCATCGCCTGCCTCAGGTGTACCTGCTCCTATCCTCCAGTGTCTGCTCGTGACCCTGCAAGGGATCCCTTGGAAACCCACATCCAGGGAGGACGTCTGGTGCAGCACTTGCGATGGGGTGCCTGCATCTCCTTTTCAGCCCTGCACATGTGGACCCTCGGCAGCAGCAGGTGTTGGCCTGGGTAGTGGGATCCCTGCCACATGGGAGATGCAGATTGAGTCCTGACTCCCGACCTTGACTTAACAACTCCTCTTGAGGGTAGGTGGGCAGTGAACCAGTAGATAGGACAGTCCTTCCCTCTTTCTTTCCCTTTTAAATAAGTAAAAATAAATAGAAACATTAAAATAAACATGACACACCTCTTGTCTTCCCATGAGAGCCGCAGCCTACCAGGCCTGCCCCGCCCTAGATCCTTGCACAGCTGGGGCTCTGGCCCAGAGCGCTGGCTCACTCCCTGCTTCCTACACTTCATCTGCAGGCACCATCCCTCACCCAGGATTCCCCTCTCCCCCTTTCCTGATTTCATGTGTTCATTTCAGATAGCGTCATTTATTTTATATATATATATGTATATATATGTATGTATTTATGCACACAGATTAATTAAAGGTTCATTGCATTATGGTATACATTTCAAAAGGGCAAAAATGCTTATTTTTGATTCATATTCAATGCAAAGTAACATGTCTTGATCAGAAGTGGAGCAACCAGCCGGGGCACAAAGCAGCACCATTATGGGATGCCAGTGCCACAGGCGGAGGCTAATTTGCTAAGCGTTATCACTGGCCCTCTTTTTCTTTTTTTATTCCCTCTTTAGTTATTCCTCAGTAACATTGTTGAACTCTGAGTGTCTTTGAACAACATACCACATAGATTCTTTTCGCTGACTTTTCCAAGTTGGCTTTGTGTGTTTGAGAGCCATGGTGCTGTGCAGTGTAGTTCATTCACACTTCAGGCATGGTATATTCATTCTTTCTACTGTCAGTGGGTCTTTGTGTTGTTTCTAATTGATTCTAAGGGAATGCTGTTGGGAACATTTTTCTTCATATGTAGAAGTTTCTCTTGGTTCAGCCCCAGGAGGGGAGCTGCCGGGTCAAGGGGGAGCCTCTGCAGTGGGGGGCCCGGCCTGCACGCTGACCCAGAGGACCTCAGGCATCCTGCTATCCTCCATCTGCACAGCCTTGGAAGCGCTATCTTTTTGTTGTTGTTTTAAATATTTATTTTATTGGAAAGGCAGATGCACAGAGAGGAGGAGAGACAGAGAGGGAGATCTTCTGTCCGATGATTCACTCCCCATGTGGCCGCAGCGGCCTGTGCTGTGCCAGTCTGAAGCTAGGAGCCAGGAGCCAGGAACTTCCTCTAGGTCTCCCACACGGATGCAGGGTCCCAAGGCTTTGGGCCGTCCTCCACTGCTTTCCCAGGCCACAAGCAGGCAGGAAGCTGGATGGGAAGTGAAGCTGCCAGGATTAGAACCGGCACCCATATGGGATTCTGGAGCGTGCAAGGCGAGGACCTTTAGCATTACGCTATCGCGCCGTGGCCCAAGAAGCGCTGTTTTCTTTTGTGCCCTGCTGGTAGGTGTGAAGCAGGTTCAGGTTTGCTCTTCCTGGGTGAGGATCACTTCTTTTATTTCCGGGCCACCCGTTATCCGTCTTCTCTAAAACACCCATTTATGTCTCTTTTGTCTGTTTTCCTTTGCTTAATGATTTGTAAAGAGTTCTTTGTGTATTTGAAGGTAAATCTTTTTGTCACTTCTGCTTGTTGTTGTTACCTTCTCCTTTTAAGGAGTATGTGAAAGATCGGATGCTTTTCATTTTAATGTTTTTGGGTTTCCTGCTCTTGCTTTTACCTGTCTTCGAGAGGTAAGGAACTTATCCCAACCTGGAGGTCATACATACGCCATTTCCTATTTCCGCTGAAAATTTCTAAGGTTTTGCCTTTTGTGTTCAAGTTCTTAATCTGCTGAGAGTGAACTTGTGGCCGTGAAGGAGAGTCCCTCGTTGGTTTTCACTAGCATTTTGCCCTCCTTCTCCTACAGTATTTTAGGGACTCTTGGATTGCTTGATCAAGTCTCATGAAAAATCCAGCTGGCGATTTTATGGTTGGACTTGCATCCAAGTCCACAGAACACTTGGTGAGAGTTGACACTTTTCTGTGGAGCCATGTTATCCAGGAGTAGCCTCCCCTTCGGCGGTGACAGCTGTGTTATCCGGGAGCAGCCTCCGCTTCTGTGGTTAGTTGGTCCTTGGTTGTCAAAGCAGCATGCTCCTTTTCCTCCACAAGGGTCCTATGCAGTTTGTTTTGTTGTTGTTGTTAGAAATGTTCCTAGATTCCTTGTTGCTGTTTTAATCACACTTGTCCAGAGTCTCTCTTTTTTTTTTTTTTTTTTTAAATCTCACATCATCTATTTTTGTGATGTATCTTGGAGACTTGAGGGTAGGGAGCGCCTGTCCCCAGATGCCCTTTCTCCTGGCCTGGGGGTCCAGGGTGAGAACCATTCCATTCTCTGCCCTTTTTGCACCCCAGGGCTGTGCCTCACTGGACAGTCAGGGCTGAGCTGAATGGCTGCCTTCAGGGGACAGCCATTTCTGTCTTGGTACAGTAGGTAACTTTCTCATTCTGAGATCAGTATTCAGAATCTCTGTTGCTCGCGGATGAAAGCTACATCCTGAATTATCAGTCATGGAAACAGATGAGGCTCACTAGCCCTCCCCATCTGTGGTCTTTGTGAAAACCCACGGCAGGGGAGCAGCACCGCTCCAGACAGGCTCCTGGGAGCCTGCGGTGCACGCAGTGTGCCTTGAGTTGTCTGCAGGAAATGTCTACCTAGGAGCCTGGCCAAAGCTGCCGTGAACGCCGTGGCTTCTCTAATCATTGTCTGAGTCTCAGGTTCTCTGAAAAAGTAATCATGTCGCTTATATTTGGTCAACTGTTTTAAATTTTTTTTTCTTCCTTTAATTTCAAAGGCAGATTTTACAGAGAGAATGAGAAATAGAGAGAGGGTCTTCCATCTGCTGGTTCAGTCCCCAAACGGCCACCACGGCCAAGCTGAGTCACCTCCAATGTCCTTCATGGGTGCAGGGACTTGAACTCCTCCACTGCTTCCCCAGGCCACATGCGGGGAGTTGAGTTGGAAGTGGAGCAGATGGGGCGTGAACCTGCGCCCACATAGATGCTGGTGCCATGGGACGGAGAAGCGGCCCAGTGCACTGCTACACCAGCCCCTAAATCCTTATGGTTTGTTTTTCTCTTGCTTTCTTGTGCTGTCAGAAATTCTCAGATAATCCTTACATAGCCTGGTATGACAGTTT